CCTTCCCTCCCTCCCTCCCTCCCTCCCTCCCTCTCTCTCTCTCCCTCTCTCTCCCTCTCTCTCTCTCTCTCTTCCTCGCTCTCTCTCCCTTTGTCTACCTCGCTCTCGCTTTCTCTCTCTCAACATAATTCCCGTGGAGGCTGCTGAAAATATCCGGCGCATTCTGGATCACGAGCTACAAGCGGATCGACGATTATATCATGCTCTCGTACATGCGCGGCCGTGTTCGCCTCGCGATAATGTATCTGGAATATGGCTTATTAAGTATTCACACGACGATTTTCCAAAATCGCACGGACGATCAAGCGAATTTGTGCCCGAATCCCAGAAACGCCATTACCGACGCAATTAGCAGATGTAGCGTTAAAGTGCCCGCGATATACGAGAGACCGATTAAAAGCGGTATTTCGAGGGTCACTAGTGGGAGAGGGATAGGGAAGGCGAAAGAGCAGGAGGAGGAACAGAGAAGAGGAAGAGAATCACACTCGGCCGCTTGATTGCAGGGAAAGGGCTAAGCAGCATCACAACGCTTGGTATAACGTAAAAAACATTTCGCCACTCGTAACGCACGCGGAGGGCTCCAATTGCCGAATATTTAATCATTTAATCGGCTAGATCGCCGGAAAAGTCAGAAGCGCGCCGTCAATCGGATTCAATAATAACCGGTATTTTTTCTGCCCCCGTCCCCCGTGACGCGAATCGATATATGTACATACACAGGGGCGCTTGGAAATATTTATTAAATTTCCTTCGCGTACAGTAGCGTTCATTAAAACCGGTATGCGGGGCGCGCATTGATAGCATTCAATAAATCGCGCTGACGAATTACAATTTTCAGCATTACATCGCAGGAACGCGCGAGAAAAAAAGCGCGCGGGACTTTTATCGTTATCCGTTTACATGCCCCTCGGATATCGAGTCGCAGTCTCGACTTTCCAATTCCTGAGTGATTTATCGTCATTATCGCGAGCTTTATAAAAGTCTCGCTTTTTATCCCCCTCAGTCCCCGGTGTCCAGTAGGCTGGGCATTGTTTCCAAGTCTGACTCTCCTTACTTGAAGAGTGCGTGAAACTTTATTTAGCATCCTTCAAATCAATTGGTTGCACCGCAAAGTATAAGAGAGAATAAAAGTCTTGAAAAAAATATATCCCAATAATCTTTCAAATTAAGGGAAACCTAATACTTTCGTAAAATGTTGAGATAGTTTGCCTTAAGACTGAGAAGATTATGAAAGTATGCTTTTCGAATTTCTTGTCGCGGAGCGACAGTTCTGTTTCTCTGCGCGTTTCGTCACGATGTAACTTCAAATGTGAGTGTATGTGAGTGTACATGAGGGTGCTCGTGTGTGCTCTGCGCCTCCCTCGAACTTTTCCAAGTGTAATGTTAAGTAAACAAATCCTCGGCGTTTGACGTTCGCTCCGCTCTTTGGCAGATGAAAATCAGATTTCGCCGGCCGCGGCGACGCGAAACGGTCCCAGTCCTCTCTTTCTCTCTCCCTCTCTCTCCCTCTCTCTCTCTCTCTCTCTCTCTCTCTCTCAAAACGACGTGTGTATCGTCTTCACGTCACGTACATACGTCGTTCGATGAAACGACGAACAAATATTATTTCTCGTGTGCCAGCGAAAACTCTTCCATCGTGTCCGCGCTATCGGTTGGTTCGTTCTACGGTTCCTCGTGCTCCGTCCCCGCGATCGTTGGCCCACAACCTGCGGTATCTGCATCGACCTCGAGTCAGATCAAGATTTATTTCCGGCCGTCGTAGTCCCCTCGCTCATATATTTTAATGCAATATGCGCACGGTTGTAACGCTGTAAACTTAACAGTCCGCGCAGTTGCAGAATACGTTTCACGCGTAACGATACCTCTCGTGATGATGAGAAAACTCGATGCGAATCTCGTCCATAGAACGAGCGGGTTATCAATTTTATCATTGTCGACTATTATCGTCCAGCTCGCCTCCGACATTAAACCATGGCACAGAATTCGAGAATAGAATTCGTATCGATTCTTTGATTTTTATATAACTTAATATTGGAAGAAGACTCACAGACATATACAGGTGCATAGACGTACTATGTGTATGCATCCATAAACGCAGATCTAATCCTTCCTGCCTTGTGCGCGTAGAATTTCGCCGCAAATTTTGTCGCGAATTATAAATCGCCCGAAGCGTATTCTACAGTAATCCGCATCACGCGCACACACGTATACATCATTCCCAGCAACGTTTGTTTTACAATGAATATGCAATGTAGTCACAGCTGTTTAATATCGATATCAAGCCGTATCTCATAATCATAATGTAATATGTTGTCGCGATACGTCGCATACGTCGATATTGTATATTCGCAGTACGCGGCTACGTTGTAATATCCGTTTTATTAACATAACAAAATTGCCATGCACGCAAGCAAGCAAGCAAGCAAGTAAGCAAGCAAGCCAGCCAGCCAGTCAGCCAGTAAACCAGCGAGCCAACAAGCAAGTAAGCAAGCAAGCAAGCAAGCAAGCCTACGTAATTATCCGACGGTATCCGCGGACGTGTAAAAATCGCGTCCCGCCGTCCTGTATTAATTAGCGGAGCACGTAGCCCCGCACGAGCTGTAAGAAGGTTGTCGATTTACAAACACGTCGGGAACGGGTCACGGGAGCGGAGTTACGAAATAAATTATCGACTTTGGCGGAGTTTCTGGGCTAGGCGGAGCGATCTCCGAGGACTTCGACAAGGAAATGGATGGCTACACACGAGAATCGATTCATTTTCGCTCTTCGCGCGCGATACACACCCACACAATATGGGATAACTCCGGCTCGTCCCGGGAATACGTGATCGTGGTGCGCGTCGGTCAAGCGCTGATTCTTGGACGTGGCCGGGTTTATTGTTGCGTTATAACACAATGATCATTCGTCTCACACACGTATTATAATCTCTACGACCTCCCGGGACGCTACGCTCTAAAGTGCAATCAGTGTCTACTTCACTGGGATGCTACATCTATAACTGATGGTGCAGCTACAAGTACAGCGCCGCAATCAGTAAAATCTCGCTGAAAGATTGATAATGAAAGAAGATACTGTCAGTTGATTGTACCCGAGTGGAAACTCTAGCCTTACTTCTGACCTGAACTTCCTAACATCTGTATATTCTGAAGGATCAGTGTATGTGTAATACACATAGAAATCCTACTTATAACGCCTTTAAGTGGCAGAAAACGCACGAAATGCCATTTATGGATCCTAAAGAGAATCTCTCGGCGAATTTGCAAGTTAAATAGATTCAAACTGATGTAAGCTTCAGAGTATCGAAATAGATGTTAGATGGAAGTATCGAGATAGATTACTGTTTCCATTATTGATGCAGGTTGCAAGACACAAACAATGTTACTGCACGTGTATCGTCACGGAAGTTAATTTTAATGCTGCGAACATAGAAAGTTAAATTTGACACAAAATATAACGAATTTTTGTATACCACACAGATTTTGCGGTGGAATCTTTTTTGGTCACAGTCGATGACCAAGATATAAGACAGAATAGTAAAATGGGAATATCTACACCAAAAATCAGTGAATATTCATTATCGATGAAATACTTCTTTTACTGACACAATCGGAAACATTTTTTTACTGATTCACTTTAAGAGAGTATAGCTCGTGTCTGATATAACAAGCACGAGACTCTCTTTCTTTCTCTCTCTCTTTCTCTTTTCTCTCTTTCTCTGCCCAATCTCCGATTACAATATAACAAATTCGCTTTATGTCTCCGCCATGGTCTCCTCGGCGGATTATTAATTTTTCCGCAGGAATCTGTCGTTAACGAGACGCAACGTCGCGCGTCGCGTTTCCCACATTGTGTGCGCGTATATTCATTCCGTGTACGTGATACGTAATATTTGTACGCGTTAGAAAATACGCGCTCGATGGAATATCTCGCGTACCGGACGCGAAACTCGCCGTGATAATCTACCACGGCGGCATTCTCTCTCTCTAGTTTTGTTTCACTGAATAAAATCCGCTGCTTCTCGCGACGACTCATTTCGCGCAGTTCGAGACCGCTGAAACTACGCGCGGAGCGCACAAACAGCCACGACAGACGCTGCTGTTGTTGCTGTTGCTGTTTGCTGCCGTCGCCGCTGCTGGGGGGCCACTTTATCGGGTAAAGTCACTGCAGCAGCTTTTACAGGAATTACTCAGTGAATCGCAGCGCGAAATAGGACGCTTCGACATAAGTAAAGTGTGCGCAACGCATTCATCGCGGTATAGCGAAAATCCCGAAGCCGCTCGCGCCGCTTCATCGAATTAATCTTTGTCTACCGGCTTTTACCGTGATCGTAGGAATCGTGAAAAATGATCCTATTTATCTCGTTTAAGACAACATCTATCAGACGGAGTGCTTCGAGCTTCGCCCCTGCCGATGCGCGTAGTGAGAGAGAACTCCGATAGTGATGGTGGTTTCCGCCACCGCGTGTCGTTGGAGATCATTAGCGGACGCCCTTCACGTCAAGAACAATACACCACCAGTGTGAGCCGATGCACGTGCGAGAAAGATCCTCACGTAGCGAATTCCGATCGCCCGCGCCGTCGTCCGCACGGCGACTCACGACCGGTAACTTTTCGACGCGAGAAAATACCACGTGGGCCGCTTTAACGGAGCCGCGCGAAAATTGAGTCGCGCGCGAGAGCGGCGACGAATTAGCATGCGAAAATACGGTATGGCCGTATAAAGGTGGGAGGTGAAAGAACTCAGCTCGACTCGGCTCGCATTCCGCCGCGCGTTTGTCGAATAAATTACGCGATTTCTAATTAAGCACGGCCAAAGTGCTTATTACGGTCGGTACATTAATCATCCTTCCGTTTGTAGGTGACACTTTTTTCGCCTGAATCTACGTTTTATGAGGAAAAAGTCTCATTTATATGAAATATAGTTTTTGGCCGGAATATATAAAGGAATGTGTGTATATATACACAGCCTGCGCCGCGATAACGACGACTAATCCTTTCGAGTATTAGCTCATCGATTGCATTCTTACGGTACTATCGTGACCGCAATATCGAGTTGAAATTTTCAACTTATTTTCAATCTTAATATTCCATTTAACGTCTACTTTGATAGCCTATATCAATCTCTTTTGATTCTAACGTACAGCTTTGCCGAGAAGCTTGTTACTCTTTCAAACGTACAAGTGACATTTCTCGTACGTTTTCTACTTCATTTACAGTGCTAATTACACACAGAAAAATACATACTACACTCAAATAAATGTTGCATGTTTCAAGTATTTCATAAGTTTATATATCCGCAAATCTATCACAAATTTTCATCACAAGTATCAAATCTATTCGTGGTACGTTCGGAATTCTAGCAAGTTTAGCATCTCATAAATATTAAATGGAAACAAAAGTTCAGTTTGTTTACTACGTAAAGTTACGTAATATTTTTATAAAAAGAATAAATTCTTCTTTTGAGTGTATGATAATGAGCTTTCCTTAAATTTCTGATGAATATATCATAAGATCTTTCGAGAAAATATCCTTTGTAAAAGATAACCATTGTTTCAAAGAAAGAGAATAAACTCTCGTTTTTCTCGGCGGTTGAATATTTTTCTGTATGCAGTACTTCTGTTTCCACGTGTATTAAACGTACACTGATCCTTCAGAATATACGTACGTTAGAAAGTTCAGGTCTAAAGCAGGACTGAAATTTCGACTCGGGATGTCGCATGGCACTCGCGATCAAGCGGATAATCGCAATATTGCGAACAATGTTCACGCGAGATTCCGTTTTCCAACACGGTGGAAACAGAGACCGAACATTTTTCACGTTGATACGAAGCGGATTCCACTCCTTCGAGATCCTGAGTCTCATAGTACCTCGCATTCGTGCCGAGAATATACCTCCGCTCGCCGGCTATATTCATCGGGGAGCGCTAACGCGGGGAATGCGCTCGACTAACGGTACTTTTAAATGATTACAGTCACGGCTATTTGTCACTCGTCGTTTATCATTTCGGCGTACTAAAAGAGGAAGGGACACCCCCTAACCAGAACTTTCTCCAGGACCCAAGAGCGTCGCGGAATTACCAGTCTCGCTATTTCCCTCGCGTAACTCGCACGACCTTCTTTCCCTGACGGCAGAGGTGGAGAGAAGAGAAGAGCCCCGCTCTGCGCGACCAATTTTCATGGCGCGGGGACGAGCCGCGTATCTCATTGCAGTAAGCGGATGACCCAATTTCGTAACAATGCACCCCGCTAGCGTCGGCGTGCGCGAACGAGACGCAAACAAACAAGAACAGGGCAGGGAAAATGGAGATGGAGGAGGCGGGCCGTTTTATCGCCGAGCTGCAGCAGGCGAAACCCGCCTGGGTAGTGCGCGAGTTAGAGGAACGCGCTTATGAGAGCGCTCCCTCGCCGGTTATTTATATTTATACGTTAAATGTAAGGGAAAATCGCGGGGGGAACTCTACTCAACCGCGCGCGCGCGCGCGTTCATCACGCTGGCTCGAGCGCAATCGAATTCGGTGACGCGCGGTTTAATTTATCTGCCGTTAGATTACACGCGCGCGCGTACGTCGTAATTGCCGAGATTATGCCGTCGAAGTGCGAGAAGCTCACGACTCAGAAAACAGCGGTGGAAAAAGCGCATGATCGCGAGACGAAGTACCAACAGCCGCGATTTTAATTTGCAAAATTACTCTCGCAAGAATATGTTTGTTACAAAATAAAGCACCGCGCCCGAGCAAAATAACATCTCCACGAGGTGAATATGCATTTATGCTTGCCTAGAGTCCGCGAAAGGCTTAATTCGCGCCCGACGACGAAGAGGGCACGAGATTAACCAGCGAGCGAGAGCGAGATCGAGGGAGAGGGGAGAGGGAGAGAAAGAGAGGGAGATGAGCACGTACAACACACTCGCGGTTTTACGCGCTCGCGTGAGTCGAAATTCATGCGGTGCAGGAACTGATATTTCCCAGAAAATGAATCACCCTTATACAAACGGACCGACACACCGCGGTAACAGCGGCACAATAGTCAGACAATAGCAAAAGCGTGCTGCTTGGTGGTAGCTAGCTAGAAGGGTGGCTGAAACTGGGAGGGATGGCGGAGGGGCCGGACGTGGAGGTACGCGAGCGCTCGGGGGATGCATACGACGAAGGCAGGAGAGATTTCGTGGATCGCTCTCTCCACCCGCCGGCTAGGCGGTAGTGGGCTCGGCTAGGTGGTGAACGAAGAGGGCGAACCGGGGCCGCCGGCAACGAGGAAGGATGGAGGGTTGAAACTGCGCTCTCCAGACGGAAACAGGATGAAGGTGCGCCTTTCCGCGTACAAACCGCGCCGCGCCGCGCCGCCCAAACAGCCGAGCAAATTAAATAACCCACATCCATTAAAGATAGTGCCGTTACCCTTCCGGGTTAGTGCCTGGTTACCGAGCGTTTAATGTCTAATTAACGTATTACGCAAATCGGTTGATAGAAGCGATAGAGCGAACGACTCGAGCGAGCGAGCGAGCGAGCGAACGAACGAACGGACGGGAACGCGGGCGTGCGAACGTCGCGCGGACGACGATTTACGATTCATGAGCGCACCAACACACCCGCGCGATTCACGCAGCCATTTGCGTTCAAATTGGAGAACATTGATTTCGCTTGATGAAAGAGAGAGAATCAATCGCTCTCCACCGATGGCGAGGAAAATTTATTCCGGCTAACTCGCAACGGGGTAGTACTCTCTCGCGCGTACGATGACACTTCCGCTATTGAATCTTAAACGAATGTTCTATATATATATATATATATATATATATATATATATATATATATATATCCAGTTGATGTATTGTTTTGTTGTTTGTAAAAATGGAAATCACAAGCCCGCTGTAAGATTAATCACACAAAGTCTTCTAGAGATATTTTGGGTCGCGTAAGTAAATACGTGCATTTTCTCTTTGGCAAACTCGCACTAAAATCGATACCTCGCGAAACGCAAGCGAATCTCGTCTGGACACAGATAAGGTGAGCGAAGCAACAGCGTGCTTAAATTTTAACAATACGATAACCGATTGAGGAACTTTTCTCTTGATAGTACTGCGCGCGTGTTACATTCATCCATACATATATTCAAATGATCGTTCCTTGATGTTCATGAAATTTAAAGCACATCGATCCATACAGCAACTAGATTCTCACGGGATTGCTTCTTTGAGGTTTGGTCAATCATAGCGTCACTCATGGTCCTGATTTATCAAGTTTCCCTTCGCTCTCTCCATCTATTTCTCTCCCTCCTTCTCTCTCTCTCTTTCTCTCTCTCTCTCTCTCTCTCTCTGCCTCTCATAACACCCACACACTCTCTCTCGCAAGGCTTTCATAAAATTTAAAAGGTTATCCACCATCCTCGTCGCTTTTTCATGTCAAGTCGGTTTTATAAGAAAACAGAAGAACGTCGATGTTAACACATTTTTGCCCTAATTTTCCACTAACTTTCCACTACTTTTTCCGTCTGAAATTTACAAGCTTTCATATTATCGTACATGCACACCGAGTGACACACCTAACTATTTACTGAACATTAGCGACTTTAAGAAACAGTACAGCGCGAGTACGTGTCTATGCTTCCGACTTCGTTCTAGACTTTAAATTCCCAAGCGCCATCGAATTTTTGCATTCGATATTCAAAAACGCACTTTATCTCCCGTTTTATAACGCATCACACTGATAAGCGCTTCGAATTTATATTTTGTTTATCAATATCTCGCGCGCTAAAACGAACGAATCGCGCCGATTTGTATCTTCACATTTTATTTAAACGTCACGACACCCGCGCGCTCTACATCATTTCGAAAATAAGCGACTCGTGCGAACGAGTCGATATTTGTTATTACGCGCAATTGTCCCAAGATTAAAAAAGAACCGAGAAAAGAAGATGGGAAAGCATTTTGGCGCCAAACTCGGGTACCGTTCGACGACCCTATCGACCGTGTCGCATCATCGACGACATCTAACGGTCTTCTCCTTATTCAGCCCGTAGAATACGGAGCGGCATTACCGGGACGAGGTCCCCCTTTGCTCTTACGCTTCCTCGCAGGGCGAAATACTTTACGGAGAAAATTCAATAGATAGCTGGGCGGTAGAGGATGTTGTAGAGATTGTTCCGTTGCGCGTGATCTATGGGGGCGCCGTGGCCCGGTCTACCCCACAGCCTTTTCCAAGTGTCGAAGTGCCTGCGACAACTCTCCTGCTCGATCCGCCGTTCCTCCTGAAACGATAACAAAATACGAGACGATTTTTTCTTCTCTCTCTCTTTCTCTCTGCCGTAGCGTTAGATAAAGCCGAATAAAAGAAAAATGAGATTCCGCGTGTCAAAGTAGCGAGAGTGTCTTACGAAAACGCGTGATCAAACAAGCGCGAAACGAGGATCGTATTGTCAAATTGAGAAATAACTTATGCAGTTTCCGCCACGCGTGCAAGGAAATGGCGCAGCAAGTCGCACGATGACGCTCCATTTCGACGGAATATCTTTTCACGTCCGCTAAGTTTGCCGATATACAGCGCAGGGATTTGTCCTCCCTTCCTTTTTCTTTCTCTCTTTTTTTTTCTATACATACAGATAGAAGTCTTTACATATATCAAGCAAAATCATCATTGGAATTAATCGTTAATCTTTCTTGTAAATATGTTCTCTTTATCTTTTTCTTGCAAAATATATACTTGTATCGTAAAATGCCTTTTTCTCCTCTTTCGCTCTTAGAGAATTGGACCGGATAAACGCATTCATCTATCTGTCTGTCTTCACGTCCCTTGACGAATCGATCGTAGAATCGACGCGAGTCGCTTTAATTTCGATTTTGGACTTGGTTTATTTTCGGTCAGCGTGGACGCTCTCTCGCGCGGACGTTCGATTTCATCGTTCCGCGCACGTATGCGGGGCCGTGTAGTCGATTCGATTCAATAACAGACGGCTGAACGATGACGAGATTGGCGAGAGATCGGCACAATTAATCCCCGCTTCGAATTACCGTCCGACGTTACGCAATCGTCATCGATCATACGGCACTTACCAGCGCCCTGTTCCGTTTACGACGTATCTGCTCGGCGAGGTCCGCGATGTATTCCCGATTGCCGACGCCGAGGGCGCGAAGCCTATAAAAGAAAGGGAGAGGCGCGCACGTCACTCAACTTTCATATCCTCTCTCTGATGGGCGCGCGCGACGCGCCCCCTCCGCGGAAATGACGGGGCCACGTGCGCCGCGCCGGGCACGATCACGAATGCTCTCGAGGGGGACGAGGCGCAATCTGAGGTAACGCGCGAATAAATCGCGCCAGATTCCATCCCCGTCCCCGGAACGAGAACTGTTTGATATCGTCGTCATCGCAAACGCGAAAGGTAAATTTAGAATATGAATTATGAGCGACGGAGATGCCGTGTAAAGATGACGAGTAAACAAATCTGACGGGATATTTTACTGGATTACCATTCGAAAATAGAACGCGTCGTCTTCGCCTCTACTAATCGAGTCGCAGCGAATCGCGAACAATTAAAATTGATGAATGAATAAATAATTCGTCTCTCTCTCTCTCTCTCTCCTCTCCTCACTCTTTCGATATTACACAAAATTAAGTCATGACCAAGGAGCAGATGCAAAAAAACTCACCTCATCCTCGATATTTTTGATGCCGCTTTGAATAGTCTTTAACGACCCGGCGCTAATAGCTAGATGTACGGATAGTACGCGCACGGGTCAATCGCGCGGAAACACCATGTATCGATTCTCGTACATACGTCACAAAATTAAATACACCCGCTCGTAGTATTCGGTGGATGTACTGTTCCATCGGCATAGCAAAAAAAACAAGGCAGAGAGAGAGAGAAAGAGAGGATGCAAGGGAAAAAAGAGAATATGGAAGGAAAAATAGATAAATAAATAAAGTCGCGAGGAGAGCTCTTTTTTTCGAGATGAATAATGTTCCGGGCTTGTACGGTGGTTTACCGGTGTGTTTTCTCCCGCAGGGTCATCACCGGCGCGCGGTGACAGATAATCGAGAGTGATTAATTACTATAGCCGCTACAGCGCGTTCGGTCGACCGCGTTATGAACAACGCGACGTGCGCGGCCGCGCGCCTCCGCTACGCAACTTTCATATACTATTCTATTAAACGTTATCAAAGTGTCTCGTTACGTGTCAGGTTGGCGCCGCTTCTACCCGTGTCCCGCGTTACGACCGTTTACACGCAGGGTTATCGAACGATAAATCGGTATTATCCTATCGGGTGCAACGACGGGGAAGAGTTACGTTTGCCCGACGTCAGATTAATAGCGTACGTCGAACGCGCACGGCGGAGGCTTGACTTTTTTTTTTTTTACAGCAAAGCCGCGATCTCGAAAACCATTTTGACCAGCCGCCCTCGCGGTCACTTCCGCGCGTATCCGCTTTTCGAAGTCCGACTGATAATCCCCGGGTCGAAATTTTCATCCTACTCTCGACCTCAATATTTCATTTAGCGTCTACTACACGGAAAAAAAAGAATGATCGTGTCAACCAGAAAAATATTAAAATATGGCATAGCTTTTCTTTCCGGCTTTAAGTATCAATTCTCGGTTGCGCTGATCCACCGATTCAAAAATGCAGTTTCTTTCAGCCAACGAATCGCAGTGCTAATGTATGATGTCGCAACGTAATCAAGAATTTATTACTGAAAGCCAGAAATTAAAACTATGTCATATTTTAATATTTTCTGGTTGACACGACCATTCTTTTCTTTTCGTGTAGGATACCTACTTTGAAGCTTCGCCGGTTTTTATTCTATTTAACCTACCATACTGAAAAGAAATAATTGACACACCTTATTTGTGGAATACAAAGTTCATTTCTGTGAAATAAAATTTACTCCTGTGAAATAAAGTTGATTTCTTTGAAATAAACTTTCATGCGGAATTTCTGTACCACTCATATTTCACCAGAAATTGGTTCGTTCAAATCAACTTTTTTTCTATATACGAGTAATATTTTGTGTTCTCATTTGGAAACACTAAGTAAGACTTTAATTTCCACGTGATTGAAACATATATTGATCCTCCAGAATATATAGACGCTAGTTCAGATCGAAAATAAAGCTAAAATTTCGATTCGAGATACTGCGAGATATTATATCGCGGCCTCAAATCTTTCTCTCGCAGACCGTTTTAAATAATCCATTTCTATCTCCACTTATGTTCGATTCGCTATTATAAGCTCGACGGAGCAACGAATCCATTCTCCAATTAAGACAAAGAGCCTTTAAAGTAAGCGAAAGTGTTCTATTTCTTCCTCTCTCTCTTTTGCCCGAAAAGCGCTCGAGGGAAAAATGAAATATATCCATCTATCCATCTTTCTTTAAGTTGATTGGAACGATATCAAACGCTGGTATCAAAGAGCACGTATTTTCGAAGGGATTCTACACGAAAGTAAAAATCATGCCAATAAATATTTAGAGAGCACCGTTCGCGCGCGGCCGTGTACGAGGGGGAAAGTGAGGGTGAGATTGAGCAGGAACGGACAGGTGAAACGGTCGAGGTCGAGTGCATTCGGGTCAATTGGTTGATTACCTGTAATGTAGTTACATCCCTCGAGTGTCGTATCGCCGGCTAACCAATTCTACGGTCAGCATCGTGTCTCGTCGTGTTTATCATACTTATGAGACGCGAGCGTAAAAACAGCCGTACATACGCACACAAACAAACAAACGCGATGATATTACAGTCGCGAGCTCTCCTCGCATTCGCTACGTGACAAAACGCAAACGCACGTCGCGTACGCACCATTGTATACTCCTCATTATATACTCGCCTCGCGTTTCCTTACTTTCTTTTCTCTTTTCTCCTCTTTTCTTTTTTATTTTTTACACGAAGCTGTCAGACTTTCGCGTCAGATCGACAAAACTCAAAAAGAAAAAGAGAGGGAGAGCAAGAAAAAGAGAATTTAGAGAAGAAACAGGAAAGAAAGTCGAGTATTAAAAAAGAGGATAAATAAAAGGGAGAGAAAATAACGGAGAGAATGTTGCGCAAGTATAAACGTATACTGACGTATAAAGTAGAAGACTGGTGAGCAAGACGACGTTACACAATATGCATGTATAACGTGTACGCGGTAATATACAGGGTGTTCGTTTCGCAGAGATATTTATGAAAATTAATTGCAGTTTTCAAGAGGCCGGCACGCGTATATGTGCGTACGTACGTACGTACGTACGTACGTACGTACGTGCGTGCGTGCGTGCGTGCGTGCGTGCGTGCGTGCGTGCGTGCGTGCATGCATGCATGTCTTCCTTCCTTTTGAGAGGACGCGAAACGCGAAATTCTCGTACCAGTAAATGAGTAATCAATAACACGTTTTCATCGAGGAAATTATCGGGCGAACAATAAGTGCTTTTAATATCAATTATAGTAATGAGTATATGCACGTGATTATACATGAGTACCAGTTATGTATTTATACCCGACACGCCGTTTATCGATTATTCTATCGTCCCGACACGTGTTATCCTCAACATTTGCAGGTTCACGTAACACGGCGGACGCAGTTAGGACACGCTACAATAATCCGTTGGCAACACGTATTACTCTCGAATTATTGTCATAAATAATTGTAATATATTAATATCAAGAGACAGATAAACGCGGCTTCTTTCAACGTCGAAAATTAAATTTAATACAGGGTAAAAAATAATGTAATATTAATAAAAATTTCAATTTAACAATAAAATAATAATTCTTTTCATAACAATTAAATAACTACCTAAGACAAGCACAAATTATTAAAAGATATTTTAAAGACGCCCAAATGATATCTAAAAGAGATAGGACGTTCTTTGGAGATTTTTTATCAGATTGTTTTTATCAGATTGTGCTGTTTGGTAAAATATACATAAACATAATAAAATGATATAAATAATTCATGATATAAAAGTTAGATATAAAATTAGATATACATAAAAATAAGATATAGAAAACAGATATAAAACAAGAAATTAGATATAAAACAAGATATACAGAGTAAACTGATATAATTTATAATGTAAAAATTAAGGTTATAAACAAAGTATGAAAAATCCGGAATTTTCGACATCAATATGATTATCGTAATATATTGAATATACCGAGAGACAGATAAACGATTTTCTTTCATTATCGCCGGCAATTATTATCAAAATTAATAGAATGGAATGAAAAGCGTGAGAATTCGTGGCTTTCGATATTCGCGCAAGCTCAGAATCCCGAGATATAAATCTCGATCATTAGCCAACGAACATTGGTATTCTAATGAGCGCGTTATATCGCGCAATCGTTAACGTCGCGCTCATCGCGCGGCCATTCATTTTGAACGAGCGAGCCAATATTCGAACAGTCGTCGTCGTCCTCGTCGCACACGTCGTACTTACGATTCTATCGTGTATCCCGGACGAGTGGCGTCCGTGACGAGATAGCGCGTGGTCTGCGGATGCGACTGATAACGCCGGCTAGTTAACAAAGGTACCAATTCGACACCACCCGTTAGCTCGTATACCTGAATCTCCTCCTTGTAGAGGTTCCTCGGATCCTGCAGCGGTTGTGTTTCCGATACGATGCCTGCGCAGAGCGAAAGACCGTTCACGGAAACGAGATTCAACGTCGTACACGTTCGCGAGGAGCAACTAGCAAACTCCGCTATTTACCTGGCGTCGCCCTGTCATCGTAGAATTTATTCACGTCCGCAACAGCCGGAGGGTCTATATTCCTCTTGTATAGTCTGTCGATCACCGAGTTGTTCGTCCAACCCTGAAATACACCGAGGTTCTTTTTAAGTCGGAGAATCGACGAGACTTTCCCGTTGTGTTTGTTCCCATTGTATATGTGCCTCTCTTTTTGAATTAATTGTGATTATTGATCGTTCCTCTCTATATTATTTTTTATTCATTTTGCTTAAAAATGTACTGTCTGTGTAGCTCCTGCAAAAAATTACTGAAAATTCGAGATATTTCTATTTTTACTTAAAAACCTATATATACACACGCACGCACGATATAGTTAAATAATAATATATTTCGACTTTAACGTTACCTTTCTATCTCTATTTATCTATTTTATTTTATTTTATATTAAAAATGTTCTTTTTTAAACAGTTATCTGTCCTTTTTTAATCCTCCTAATACTTTATAAGTTTTACGGATACCGTCCAAAAATACCTTGAAAAATATGCGATTTTTTAGATAATATCTATTAAAATTAATATATTTCTCTTAAAAATGAAAATATTTTCATTTTTATTTTATTTTGTTTTTTTTATTTTATTGTAAAATATATGTAGTTTTACGTGGAAGAAAAAAAATTATTTTCCGTAAATAGATGTTTATAATAGCAAAATAAACCATTTTTTTTTGTAGAAACATTTCTATTTTTGAATAAATATTTCCATATTCTTGTGGAAATGGAAACAATTATATTTCACGGAATACAAAAGAGTACAGTAGACTTTATTTGTTAAACAAAGTTGAAATCTGATCAAAGCATACGCCGGCAATCTTTCAGTAAGCTGATAAAGTAACCGCATGCTTTCATCCTACCGCTACACTACTGATATATTACACATATTTTTACAATAACATCTGAGGTAAAACTGAGTAAAACATATATATTTCTACCCAGTAAGCGTATTCCACTATATAAACTTATATTATAAAATTAAAGTGTCACATTACATGTATTTAAATTATATTAAAAATTATATTAAAAACCGATACATACATATATATATATATATATATATATATATATATATATATAGGGTGTTTGGTAACTGATCGAGCAACCGACGTGTACGGATAGAACGGGTCAAAATAATCATAAAAGTTATATACCATTTTGAAATTTTCTCAATATTTATTCCGTAATTAATTAAAATGTATAAACGAATGAGCTCACGAGAAGCGTTAGGACAGGCTCTGTGTGTAAAAGAAATAGCTTACCTCTTAGCAACGATAAGTAAACAGCTGATTTCGAGGCGGAGTAACGTATACGTGTCGCTTGTTACTTCGCTTCAAAATCAGCTGTTTACTCATTATAAGAGGTAAGCCATTTCTTTTACACACAGAGCCTGCCCTACTGCTTCTCATGAGCTCATTCGTTTATACATTTTAATTAATTACGGAATAAATATTGAGAAAATTTCAAAATGATACATAACTTTTATGATTATTTTGACCCGTTCTATCCGTACACGGCGGTTGCTCGATCCATTACCGGACACCCTCTATATATATATATATATATATATATACTGGGTGTCTCACACTCTCCTCCGGGCATTTTGTGGACATAGAATGGGTTAATGTGAACATAAAAGTCCTATACCGTTTTGCGAAATTCGTAATAATTATCGAGATATTAATTGTAGAAAACTTGTAAATGATCATGCAGAATATGGTAAATGAGTTATAGTAGCGACGACTGCCGTCGTGTACTTATACTTTAGGTCAAATTGAATAAAAAAGTCCTGTACCATTTTCCAAATAATCATATAAATTTTTAATTATTAATTAAAGAAGATTATTGCATGGTTTTGCGTGATAATGCACTCATCTTCTTTAATTAATAATTAAAAATCTATGTGATTATTTGCAAAATGATAGAGGACTTTTTTGTTCAATTTGACCTAAAGTATAAGTATACGACGGCAGTCGTCGCTATTATAACTTATTTACTACATCCTGCATGATTATTCACAAATTTTCTACAATTAATATCTCGATAATTATTGCCAATATCGCAAAACAGTATAAGACTTTTATGTTCACGTCAACCCATTCTAT